TCGCGTGTGTGTCCAAGGAATTTTGACATTTTTTATACCTCACAGCCTGTTGCCTCACTCTTTCCTCAAGAAATAATGGAACGGGTATATATTTCTGTTGCAAACCTGGGTTGCCTTGTGCTCTTTTTTCACAAAAAACTTTAGAAAACCGTAGTAGAAAGCGTACTAAATTTCTGAAGAACTGCGTACTGCCTTAAGGAAATTTGACTCAAGAAAATTTCTTAGCCATTTCTTGTACGTCATTTTATATGGAGTTTTTGCTTTTCTTAAGAGCTGGATACTAAGCTTTAGTGGGGTTCTTCTTTAACTGAATTTCACAATGTAGTTGCTAGTAGTAATTAAATAATTTGTTGTTAAAATATCATTTGTATACTATATTAGAAATGTCCACATGCGTTTGTAATACCTGTTATATATTTCCACTAAATTGTTAATTAATTTGTCGGCGTCTGAAATTGCTGAGGTAAACTGTTACTCTCTTCCCTTATCACCCATTAAAATCCGTTTTCTGGCGGTCTGAAAGGACTGTTGTGTCGAGGCTCTGGCTCTATAACTCCACAATACATCATACTCTATATCTGCCTTTTTTCGTTTTTAAAGACAAAAGTATAGTATTTGATGACGACTCGATTGTATTTTCGATAACAATATTTGACTCGATAGTCGGCAGCACATCCATAGCTTTAATCCCATGTCCGTTTCTGCACATCGCCGATTAATTCAATTTGACATTTTATAAATGTAAATTTGTTCCGGTTGTTTATTTCTTCACAACGATAGAAGTCCTTTATTTATTTGCTGTGTTATTATTGAGTAGGTTTTGTAGCGAAATTCATTTCGATCATTCAAACTGAGCTTAAAGAACGCACAGGAATTAACTCACTCTTAACCAAAAACTCCAACTACTAAATTTTTGTATTTGCATGGCGAACAATGAAATTATAAATTTCAATATGATTATTTCGGTTTCCGGTAGCTATTTATGGACGGTGTTGCAGATTGAATGAACTACTTAATTCTGCTGTGCAATCGTAAACCGACGATGTTGTCGCGACGCAGCAAAGAAAAGGCGACCGCTCACAAGGAAGGCGTGGTTGGTAAGTATGTAAAAAAGGAAACGCCGCCTGAAATACCAGTGATAAATGTTTGGACTTTTGATGAGCAACGAGCCAAGCATAATAAGAAATCACTGCAGCGTTGTGCCAGCACATCACCCAGCTGTGAGTTTACTGGGCGAAGCTCTGGAAATTCTAGTCGCAATACGTACTCGTGCGGCAACGATACACAGTTCAATTCACAACCGGATTACTACCATGCAAGACGAGCACAATCTCAATTGCCACCTACAACAGCAACTATGCGATCGGTATCACAGACCCGTCAGCAGCGTTATGGCGTTACCGGTTTTTACGCACCAACAACTGTAGCAGCATCAACCACACAACATCCCCATTTTTACTCGAGCAATAACCTGGATGTTAGTAGCAATGGTCACGGTCATAATACTGCTAGCAACAATAGCAATAGTAGCAACAGCAACTATGTCAATATTGAGCAGATAGATCGTATGCGTCGCCAGCAATCGTCACCTTTGTTGCAGCCAAATAATTCGGCATATGAACAATTTCATCGTAGACACTCTGCCAACCAAAAGCATAGCAACTCATATGATGGTCGAATACGCGGCTTTGCCAGTGCTGACACAAATGTGGCATCAATGACTGATGGTATCGATTCCTATAGCAATATGCTGCAGTTGCCTCGCGGCACTACACCGACACCACCGCAACATTATCCAACAAATACCAGTTATGTCGCCGGCGCAGACTCCTATCCCATCTATGAAAATCCGTTTAGGGTATCTTCCAATGCTTCCGGCAGTATAATGAATAACAACCAAACAATGAACAATTTCGATAGTCGCTCAACCCTGTCCAGTGCAGATGTTCGCTCTGAGTCACCTATTTACAGTAACACAACTTTGGCCGTTTCAAACAATAACATTCAATCGTCTTATGATCTGACTGCTGGTAAAGCAGCTGCCGCCTCTGTACAATCTCTGTATCATGCACCGTCAAGACAGCTTCACGCTCAATCTGCCGGCAATACAAACAGTGCCCAGAATGTTTTACAAAAAGTGCCATCACAGCAGTCCCTGGAGGAAGAATTGCCACTACCGCCAGGCTGGGCGATGCAATACACTCTTCATGGACGAAAGTATTATATTGACCACCACACACATACAACCCACTGGTCCCACCCACTAGAAAGGGAAGGACTGCCAGTCGGTTGGCGACGTGTTGTCTCCAAGGTTCATGGTACCTATTATGAAAATCAATATACAGGGCAATGCCAGCGACAGCATCCCTGCCTTACCTCATATTATGTATATACTACATCAGCCGAGCCACCCAAGGCTATATGCCCTGAAATACCAGTTCCTTACACACCGCCAGTGCATACACACAACGCACTGGTACCAGCTAATCCGTATTTGTTAGAAGAGATACCCAAGTGGCTGGCGGTATATTCAAATGCTGATTCATCTAAAGACCATATGTTGCAATTTAACATGTTTAGTTTGCAAGAGCTTGAGTGCTTCGATGGTATGTTGGTGCGTCTGTTTAAACAAGAGCTTGGCACAATTGTAGGTTTCTACGAACGTTACAGGTAAGTGATGAAGTGATGAATTATGCGGTAACATATTGATTATTTTCATTTAATTTTATATTTTTTTAATATTGTTTTCATTTTTGTTTTTCAATTTAATAGACGTGCTTTAATTTTGGAAAAAAATCGACGCGCCGAGCAGGAGCGTTATTTACAAGAGTTACATACACAAGCCACACACCAATAACACTCCATATGAACCGTTATATATTCTATTGGAAAATTGTGGGTGCTGTGTTATATTTCTATATATTTTTTCCCCTATTTAATACTTGATGCTTACGAATATAAAGAACATCTTATATAATTAGACTGTCTTGTTCTAACGAACTGTGAACTGTTTTCGTACTATCAAATGTTATATAACTCTTAAGTAAAAGTTTTATGTTACTGATTTTAACTGATATATTATTTATGTTTAATATTTAAGTTATTTCGAACGTTTTTGTGATTGGTTTTATTCTTGCTCTTTTGATTTAAGTATATATTCACATTTTCTCATTTCAACTTATATGACTTTTTGCAGAAAAAATATATATATTTATGCATGTGTACATTAATATTTTCAAAGATTTGTTCTTTATTTTACTCATTTTAAAATAAGTATGTAACGTAATGTTGAGCCATGAACTAAGGAAACCATAAAAAAATTGCGAGGAAGTCAAACTCTAACGACACATTCGAATCATTAAAAACTTCCAACTGCATTTGTGCTAATAGAAAAGATATTTCTGTCTAGCATGTATTTTATGGTAACAGTCAACAGAAATGTCTAAAACCTTAATCGACTCTGGGAACTAGCGTACTTATGGATAACCCCACCCTCCTTCCGCCGTCTACGGGTACAGTCAATGGGGAAAATGATTAATGTACATTCATATCTTATCAAATGTATCTATTTTTATTTGGAGCACCGTAAATTGTCACGTTATGTAAGTTAATTTTTAGGATGAGTAAAGCTCGAGCAAGGCAAGCCTTCCTCCACCAGTTAAATAAAAAAAATAAATAAAAATAAAGAACAAAAACAATTTCAATGATAACATATCGCATATTTAATAATAGCCTTGGTCCACAAGCTACTCGAAGTCACTTCCGAGTTACACATACGCGTTCCACAAGTAAGTTTTTAAGTGGAGTTTCTTTGATATACGCTCACAGTTTGAACTTTGCTCGAGTTTTTTACAAGTTGCCTGTGGAACAAACCTAATATAACGATCAGTTCTGTGGGAAAACGCAATCAAAGTTTTATCAACTCATACAGTTGGTATACCACAAGTAATTTTTATCAAAAAAAAAACCGACTTCAACTCCCATATAAAAATAAATATATATATATATATCTCATGATCCACTGATCGGATCTTAACCAGATTAGCATGGGACCACCTCTGAGACACTACCTTTCCGATGCAAATTATCGAAATCGGTTGACGTGGTCCAAAGTTATGCGGTAACATACATAAAAAAATAAAAAATAAAAACAAAATAAAAAAAAAAAACAAAATAAAAAATAAATAAAAAATAAATAAAAAATAAAAAAAAAATAAATTAAAAAATATTCGGACGAACTGATAACCTCCTCCTTTTTTGGAAGTCGGTTAAAAAGACAAATGGAAAGACGTACATACATACAGTTACTCCAAAAAATTGAGCGTGCGGATCTTTTTGTTAATATTCGCAATGTTTTACATGTTAAAAATTGTTTGTTAATTTTTTATTAAAATATGGCTTATACTCCATTTAAATCCAAGAATGATACTGTGTACAAAATTAAGAAAAATTTTAGTATAATAATGTTCAAATTTCAAATCTCTAAAAAATCTCGTTGGTTTTTACTGACTGTCCGACGCATTTTTTCCATATAAAAAATTTTCAATTTTTTTTATATATAAAACATTTTAAAAACCCAACGCGAATGTTAAGACATCTACCAAAATTTAATGGGCTATAAAACTGCATACCTGAATTCTTTTTAGAAATTCGTATTAAAAATTTCGCGATTTTGCTGAAACTTTGCAGATTTTTCTTAATTTTTGTACACAGTATCATTCTTGGATTTAAATGGGAGTGTGTGTTGCTAAAATATAAGCCATATTTCAATACAAAAAGAACAAACAATTTTTAGCATGTAAATCATTGCAAATATTAACAAAAAAGAACCCAAACCTATCATTGCAATCTTTACGAAAACGTTAGAGGGGAATTCGAAATCTTCCAATATAACACTAACTTTGATGAAGTTTTTCAAAACTTCAACACCGACAAAATTGCTCAATTAACGGAATTTTTACAAAAAATTTAAGCTTCTTTTTAAATCGTTTAATCGTGGTGTACATATCGTCCACCTACTAGCTATCCAATTACTACTGGGCAAACTACGGCCTGTGCAAACACACGAGTATATAAACTCGTATACAAACTTCTGGGACTTCACACGTATACGTCAACAATGCAACCCTGCTTCTGTGCTTATACTTTTAATTTTGCCTACATATCTTTTGCGCTCTACTGGAGTGGAGCTTTAGAATTAACTACATTTAACTGGAGGAACAACCTGACGTGGGAAGCGGTCTTGTTTCAGCCATTCAAAGGAGAATCCAAAAAAAATATATATTCCGAAATGTATACAATGTTTTGTTTGCAAAGTTTACGCGATTTTCAGTTGCTTTGTTTTACAAAATATAGTGATGGTTTGGAACGCGGCCAAACTTCGAGTGCAACCTAACAGCGCCGCAACAAAAACGCACTAAAAGCAGCAGAGCCAAAAGAACACCCGCAGCAACTCCAGCCATATTAGAATTATGGACAGCGATTTAGGGGTACCTAACCATAGCCGCAAAACAGCAGAAAATATATTGCGCCGATGCCCATGGAAACCAAACGTAGGAGATGGTCATGCAACGAGAGCACCAATTCTCATTCGCATCCCCGAAAACTTCACACCGAAGTTGGCGCCGAAATTCTCAGGCCCCTACGTAATTAACAATACGTCTCAGGAAATACGGTAAAGTTCGTTAATTCCGAGCGGCTCGATAGGCAATCAGAACCCGCACACCTGCAGGAACTAAAGCCGTATCATCTAAAACTAAAGGTCCTATTATGAATGGCGACTGGTATAGTAGACTTGTACATTTCGAAGTAATTGGCAACTTTACTTCGATGTGATCAAATCCGGACATGGGGGCCACTATTTGAATCCACGCAATGACCATCGAACAAGCTCCGAATCCAACGATTGCAAAACGTTAGTGTAGTATGGCAAGGGCGTATCTGAAATCGTCGTATGGTATGGAAAGGGTGTATCACGCTGAAATACAAAAGGCCGTAACTAACTAAAAAAAACACAAATTATAATCGTTATATCCAATAAAAAAATCTAGTTGTGTTTTTTTTTTCCTTTTTGCGACAATGTGGGATGCGCCCTTTCCGTACTATACGACGATATGAGATACGCGCTTTCCATACTATACTAACGAAATATTTCACGGATGGCCAATCATGCCAAAAGCCACACCTGCCAGCTCGCGTACACCAAACATTAGTATCAACCGCGATGTATAGCCGCCACAACAACAATCAACCGCAACGAACCACCAGTCGTCGAAAAGATCTCAGAGCGTGGATCGCCCAATGCATAAGGAGGCAACAAGCATCGGCCCTTCTTGGCCCTGAGGCCCGGATTACGCCACAGTGAAGCGAGGACATAAATACCTGGTCAGAGACTAAACCACTTATAAACACGCACCGCACCAACACACACACACACCGGCCGAACTACAATTTTTCTTCCACCGTAAACTATATTTATTTTATATTTTATGTACCTGCACTATATAAAACCAGTATGCATCACGCAATAGTTTATAAGTAATAAATTTAAACTGAACTAAAAAAATTTGTAAATTTGCAATACAAAATTATACGATGTTCCAATCACTCAAGTCAAGTCAAATTTCCGTTTCAATGTAATGAGAAGGAATTTTTGCGTAGATTCATAACAATTGGTGAAACATGGATGCGCCATTACACACCAGAGACCACAAACAAATCAATTCGGACGATAGAGGGTGCGTTCTGAAATGCATCAAGCCAAAGCATCAGTCTCTTTTATTTCTAAACTATAATTTATAGAAATGTCAAATATGCACAACCACGGTTATAAGCCAAATTGGAACTTAGTTACGTAAATAAGACATTTCCATCAAAATTCTAGTTTAGAAATAAAATATACTGATGCTTTGGCTTGATGCATTTCTGAACGCACCCAGAACTAGATGGAAGTGCACCAAAAAAGGCAAAAAAACACGGCATCTTCGGCCGGAAAGACTATGAGGACGCACATATAGTATAATCCTGATCAGACTAATTTCAAGAAGGGAAAATCGACAATTGATGAAAAATGGAATGTTAAAATAAAGGCAAAACGATCGCAACTAACAAAGAAGGGCTGTGTTCGGAATTGACTCAAGCCAAAGCATCAGTCTCTATTTTATTTCTAAACTATAAATTATGGAAACGCCTTATTTTCGCAATAAGTTCCAATACGGCATTTTACCATGGTTACGCATATTGGACATTTTTATAATATTTTACGCACGATATTTTGCAGATCTGGACCTGTGCGATTTTATCCCTTTCCAAACATGAAAAATTGGTTTGCGGGAAAGAAATTTTGCATTCAATTCTGTAGCAAGAACCGAATCTGAAGTGTCAAATAATAAAATGTAAAAGCACAAGTAGACCCATTCCCCCCCTCAAAACCAGCTCATGATGAAGAAACTTGGGACATAAGAAGAATAAAAGACAGTATCCCCACATGCAAAGCATTAGATGATACATACCTATTTCATCTGTGCGAGGTGTTTGAGTTGCGACCGGTCACCATTAAAAATATCGAAAAGTTTGAAAGGTTCGTAAACAACTCATTGATAGAGACTATCCGGAAATCAAACGCATTTGATCTAGATTTACACAATCCTGCTACAGAGTGTAAAAGAGTTTCGCAATTATCGCAGGAGTTTTCAAAGTTGCAAGACGAAGTTAAACGAGTGTTGAAAGTCAAAGAAGACACTCCCCAGTCTCTCCAACATCTCATCAAGGATATCAGCGAACTAAAGGCAGTAGTGCTGTCCTCCGCAATAATTAAAGAACAGATCCCCATGCAAGCTCTAATAACTCATGAAGCTCGAGAACCAACGACACTTGCCAGCTCAGCACCTGCAGCTTCTAGGGATCTCTCAGCAACAGTCGCCGATAACTCCTATCTATATAACCCGTCCTTCCTGGCAAGGATAACATGAACCCTTCATATCGCATTCTATTTATAAAAAATGATTATGGTTTTTTTTTTTTTAGATTTGTAACTGACCTAATGAACAACCATCCTAAAAATTCATGTTACTAACAGTTTGCAAGATCCGAAATATATCTCTAATAGATCTTAGCATTCATCGTGGGGTAAATTTTCACCCCAACAGCATTTAGTATATTGTATTTATCTTCTTTTTAATTATTTGCAAAAAAAGATTATTACAAATTTACTTCTTAATATTAACCAAATAAACCAATACTATTTTAAGATTTTTCACAAAAAAAAAAAAAACGTAACTCTACGTTTGAGGCGAATTTTCATCCCCCGATGTCAGTTATATAGTGCATAATTGTATGGCTAAAGATCAAAGAGGTATATTTTTTAACCTTGGGCGGATTTGGGGGAATTTTGTTAGGGATCTTGGGAATTTTTTTAGGGGTTTTTGGAAGTTTACAACTAAATTTTTTAGGCACGATTAAACCAATTAAAATGTGAAAAACGTACGCGCACAAACCTAAATATATGCATTTTAAGGGACAATATATGTATGTTATATACATATACGTATTTTTAGGCGTGGAAATATGAAATTTTTTAAGCTAATAACAAAATACGCATGCATTAAATTCTACTAACTACACTTCTAACTCTAAACTTAGCTTAGTTATGTCAAGGTAAATGATGTGTCAGTCTCCTTTATCATATCCTCAAGCTGTACACCGATACGTTTACGTGGAATATCAATTTGTATAATCGAAACGGTAACGCGATCACCCACAGTGAGTTCTGTGTTTCTCATTTTACTTATATGTAAGAGCGCATTACATTCAACCCCAACATCAAGAAAGGCACCAAAGTGTGTGATATTAGATATGGCACCTGAAACGACAATAATTTAAGACTTTAAATTTCATTCCAAAGACTGCAGCAAGAAATCAGTCACACTACCTGTTAGCACATCTCCCTCAGAGAGCTCCGTTATGCGTGTTAAGCCTTGCTTAAATAGTGGTCGCTTAGCAAATTCTGCGCGATAGTCTTGAGTGAGCTCGCGTTGTAATGCCATTAGTACGACATCGAGCTAAGTTTTTTTATAAATACATAGAAGTTATGCAAATAAATTTAAAAGTATAACATTGAAAATAGAAAAGATTTTACCCGCTCTTTTGGTATTTGAAAATCCTCAGCTAACTCTTCCATATCACACTGTAAGGCGTATGCTTTGATTTTGCAAATAAACGCTTTCGTGCCGATATCATTTAGCAGCAAATTACATTTGCTTATGATTCTACAAGGTAATATATACATACTTAAAAATTATAAGTTACAAAATATGTATAGAATAAATTTTACTTTTTAGCAACTGCGTAACTCTCCGGATGCACCCAAGTGCAATCAAGCAGATTTTCAATTTTCCTTCCTACAGTCAAGGGTTCAATACGTATAAAACTAGAATGAGAGAAGAGTTAAAAAAGTTAATTTATAAAACCGTGAAAACGAGTTGCCACCCATCCCGGAGCTATGACTGAATTCATAGTATGATTTTTCGCGAAATCTATGAACATTCCATCACTGAATATATACCCTCGTAGTAAATCGGATTCATTAGATTTTTTCATAGATTTCACCAAACTCGGACTGCTATGAATTCAGTAAATCTGGATTATGTTCAAAACAGAATTTAAAATACATTCATATGTAAACATTTTATACACAAATCCATTTCTTACCCCGCACATTGTACAAATGTCTTTTCGCCTATGGATTTCACTTTTAATAAATCTTTGCGAGTTTGAAAAGGGCCATTAATTGAACGATGTTCTATTATTTTTTGAGCTTTTTTCTCACTCAAACCGGCAACATGCCTAGAAAAATCAAAATTTGTCAACTAATCGTGAGAAAACATAAAAAATTGACTCACTTCAACACACTTAAGCTGGCTGTGTTAATGTCCACACCCACAAAGCTCACACATTCGGAAACGACTTCATTTAAAGCCTCGTTAAGCGTTTTCTCTGGCACGTCATGCTGATACATGCCGACACCAATGTGACGTGGTTCAATTTTCACATATTCGCTTAACGGGTCATTTAGCCGCCGTGAAATGGAGACTGAAAAGTAAACAATTTTATATATCTGTTCTATTTGTGAAAATTGTCCTTTTAGTATATCTCACCTGCACTTATTTCATTCATGTCCATATCTGGAAATTCTTTACGCGCCACTTCGCCACATGAGTATATTGAGGCACCCTGTTCCGACACTATGCTATAACGCACGGTATTTTTGTCCAATATACCGTAATCAAATAAATTCGATAGCCAAAATTCTGTTTCGCGGCAGGCTGTACCATTGCCTAAAGCAATTATTTTGCAGCTATGGAGTTGAAATGAATGAAAGATGTATTGTATATTTATTTTTCATAAAATTTGCCAAAAAAAAATAAAAAATAAAAGATAAAATCTATATACTGTGTTACGTTACACTCACTTGTGTCTTATAAGCATTTTAGCTAGTTGGTGGCCCACCTCCTCGGGATCACTGCTCCGAGCATGCGGATATATCACGCCTGTTTCCAAAACATCGGCAGTCTCGGATATCAGCGCCAATTTGCAGCCATTGGTGAAGCCTGGATCAATACCAAGAATACGTTCACCTTTTAGTGGAGATTGC